CTGGTACATGAACAAAATAGCTAATAGTCAATTGCTTATTATTCAAATTTCAAGACGAAAAACTTGCTAGAAGTTTTCTTTCCATATCCCGAGGAAGAAAAGTTAGTTGTATGGGCATATATTTTAACATTTTTAACATAACAGGTTTAATCAACCAGAATTTGTTGTCCTTACAATGCTGGCGTTATGAGTTAAATCTTAGTTCGATTTAAGACGTTTGTAATCACAAAATAAGTCTAAAAGTCAGAACACTTTTTCACGGTGCGATCATATTGTAATAAGTACTTCGTATTTTAATGTACTATAACTTTCATCCAAGGTCCAGCCACACCGACCAGAACGAGTTTGTACTATTTAGTCAATAATCTAACGGCAATGCGAAACTGTTCAATACGAAAATACAATATACAAAAGTCTTAATCATCACTTTAGATTGTTCACATCCAACACATCCAAAAATATTAAATAAAAGTATAAATATGCGCCTAATACACCACTACTACATGTAAAAATAACTAAGAAACGTTTAGTATAAAAAGTAGACAGTTGCTGTTAAAATAACGTTTGATTCGCAGTGTTTTGAGATCGCCTATAATTCTCTGGCACTTTTTGCCCCAGTTTTTTCCACTATATGCAGTGACTGCCATTGTAAGTTCTTCACAATCTAATGTTATGATGTTTCTATGCCTTGTACGAATTTGTTCTGATCAATTCCTTTTTCTTTTCCAGTAGAAAATGATTTATCTGTGGTGATTGATAAAATTGGTGAATTTGAGTTGGTGAAATTTTAGAACATTTTCATGCGATACTCGATTTTTTAGTAGATTGTCTTTTAAATCTTCTAATGAACTTACCAGAATGAAGTACATGCGGTATTCAGAAAAAGAACGTATACCGCTGAATACAAAGTCTGAATACAAAGTCTATTTAATTATGGAAGAATTTTGATAGAATCTGTGTGTATTTGATTTTAGTTGTTTCGAAAAATTCTTTCAATCATTCAACACGTACGTTTATACGTAGAGCGATGGACGTTATTGGAAAGACAAAATGGATAGATACTATGCTATTCAAATAAGTGTCAGTTAGTAGATCTGGAACCGGAATAAATATTCTTTCTTCCATCAGATATTTATGCTCGAAACATCTCGATCTTAAACTGTTATCGCGAATTTCTTCGAATATCATTGTCAATTAAAATACACGTTAAATACGTTTGATGTTAAAATATATGTCCATATAACTAACTTTTCTTCCTCGGGATATGGAAAGAAAACTTCTAGCAAGTTTTTCGTCTTGAAATTTGAATAATAAGCAATTGACTATTAGCTATTTTGTTCATGTACCAGAAAAGTAGCGTTAGTCTTATTTTTTTGAGAGTATATAGTGAACGATATATACGCCATTTCACCGATTCAACCCATACTGAAAATGATTATTAACTAGAAAAAACTCTGAAAATATCAGAGAGATCCACACATCGGGTTTTAGGCATAAATTACTTGGTTAGTGAACCTCTCGACTAAATCATTTGATATCTATTATTGAGAGCAATGATAAGCTCCAAAAATAGGCATTTTGAATATAACTTCTGGCTAAATCCATATGAAACCTACCACGATATATAAAAGTGTTGGCGCCAGTCAGTCCGGTCTCACGAGCGATATCCCGTTCGGAATATACCCTGTATCCCGAATGGGATATCACAAAAAATTTATATTCTGATCGGGATATTTCTGCAAAACATTTTGGAAAAAATCATTACCGGAAAAATCGTGACGTTATTGCGGAAAAGCGAATATAGCATAAGAAAGCGGATGAAAAACTGAGTCGGAATCAAAGGTGTTCTAGTCTTAGTTTAAGGGTCTACCGTTCACGATTTTTTAAATTCTAGTGAGGATATACAAAACAGTCTGAGCCGGATATATTTTTATATCCCGGGCTATAAGACCGGATTGACCGTATCTAGGTATGCCTTCAGTATATCATATCTCATTCGGGATATAAAAATATATCCCGATCAGGCTATATCCCGAACGGGATATATATCTTGATCAGAATATCATAGCCTGATCGGGATATATATCTTGTTCGGGCTATGAGACCGGACTGCCAGTAACGAGATCTACCTGATACTGTAGAGCTGAATCGAATGGCGAAAACCGTAAGACTCTTAGTTTGTTAGAAAAAAGTTCTGGTATTTTACTGTCCCAGCGTAAAAGCGCATTTTTCGTCGTTCTCCAGCGGATTTGGCCTAACTTGTCGAGTCTCTTCTAACTATCTTCCGTAATGTAGAACCTTGAACTAGGTCTCCAACCAAAGAGCCCATCAAATTCTATAGGTCTGAATGAAAAAAAATGATGCTAAGCCTCTGGGTCCTTAGAAAAGATTTCTCAAAAACCGGCTTTTCTACAAATGTTAACGACCTTGACTTTCATTTCGAAAGTTTTTCAACCACTCCATTGGATAGCTCGTTCAGTTACCTGCAAAATGAGATGTCAACCAAGTTTCTACGATGTTCTGTAAAAAAAATACCACAGAAAATACGATGTGGATCGAAACTTCAGTAGTAAGGGAAAGTTTTTGAAGACTGAAGAGAATAATGTTACAAATCTTGTAACTCGATTGTTTAGTATCGTAAAAACTAGGCTAATATCTCATTTTGCAGAGAACTGAACGGGCTAACCAACAGAGTGGTTGAAAAATTTTCGGAATGAATTTCAAGATCATTAAGATTTCTATAAAACACGGTTTTTCAGAAATCTTTTCTTAGGGGCTCATAGGCCTAGCATAATGTTTTTTCATTGAAATATATAGAGTTCGATGTACTCTTTTATTTGAAACCGATCTCACGGTTTTATGATAGGGGCTGCGGTCAGGAGATGTTTGACAAGTTAAACCAAATCCGCTGTAAAATGGCGAAAATGCAATTTTTTGCTAGAAGAGTAAAGTACTGATAGCTTTGTCTCCTACAAAGCTAGAAACCTACAGTTTTCATCATTCGAGTCAGCTCGCTGAGCTTTATAGAGTGAGATAGGTCTCGTTACTGGCGCCGAAGGTCGATGTAATGGTAGTAGGTTTCATATGGATTCAGCCTTCTATTATTTAATCTTTTTTAAATACTGCTAAAAATAATTTTTCTATGCTAGAGTGAGATAAATTGAGCAATTATTTCAAGTTGAAAGATTTCAAGCTCAAAACCTTCACCAGAATATGAAATGAATGTAACAGATACAGCTCAACCGACTACAGCCTCACCACCCACTAAAGTAAGAGGATTTTTATTGCTAATTTGAGAAAAAACACAAGTTTTTTATTCAATAAAATGTTCTTCTGATTCTGCTGCTTATTTCTTTTTTAACAGCCGCTTCAGTATTTCAACGAAACAAAATTTGCAACCAAATTATTAAACTGCAAATCTTTTATGACAGCAGTTAATATGATTGAAGATATTCTAGAAAATGACAATTTAGTTGTATATTTTTCACATCACTGTATACGAGATTTACGAATAGCAAACATTTTTGATAAAAAACATTCATTAACACATGTACATAAAATTCGAAATTTTTTCCATCATCTTTTACCAAAATTAACTTTTGGTGTTAAAGAACTAGTTGATGAATGGTCCAGTTTCACTTTTGATAAAAAATCAAATGATCCTTCTAATGATACAGTAAACCTATCGGATTGTCTCATTAATGGAATAATGGAGCATGAAGATAACGTACAACATATCTCGGTATCGCGGCGTTATACCAATCGTACTTCTGCCAATGGCACTTATACCAATGGTATAAGTGTCTCGATTTTATGCCAATGGATATAAAAAAAATGTTTAGACCAATATTGGTATAAACGAAAAGTACTTACACCATTGGTGTAAGACTTGAAAAAAAAGAAGGTATTGGCTTAAGTACACTAACACTTTCAACTGTGTGACTGATCACAACGAAACTATTTGATATATAAGTTGTTCCGACTCCATGCAGTGAAAAAAATTGATGCAGTACAATATATCAAATATTTTACAGTATTTAGGAAAAAACAGTTCACTTGCTGCTGAACTTTTGATTAGATTGGTGTAAGAAAACGGATTTTTATGCCAATTGTACAACTCCTGTTTTATATACCAATATTGGTATAAAAAATCAGTGTTTTTCCCAACATTAGTGTAAAAATTTTTTTTATATCCATTGGCATAAAATCGACACACTTATACCATTGGCAGAAGTACGATTGGTATAACGCCACGATTTCCATATCTCTGTTCGAAGAAGAACTTTATTTTTAGTAATTAAACTTTTTCATGAAATTACTGACGCCGCTAATTTCGAACAAGGAAGATTATATCTACCAGCTGAAAAAGATATTGATGTAAAGTTTGAAACACCGGCTACTCATACTCTTACTAGTGAAAGTGGTAAAGCTGTCGAAAGGTTTTTATGTGGGTGCGTAATCGATGCAATTTATCATCCAGTAACTTATTCAGACAAAAAATTACTCATTATAGATACTGTATATTTTCTTGAATCTATACCATCTCGAGAAATCACGGATGAATCCATTAATGAATTATTTGCACCTGATTTGAAAACTATTATAGATTTAAAACCTAAAGCTGGTGGCGTAGTTAGACGAAACAAAAAACGAAAATCCAACGTAAAACGATATAAGAAGAGAGAATCGGCATCAAATCTACCAATGGTTATGGTAGTGTTACCAGCAGCAGTGATTATGAAGATGATAGTGATTGTGTTTCGTTAACTTCAGATGATAGATGGAATGAAAAATTTTGAAAGTAAGCTGTTCTCTAAATTTTGTTTTGGTTCTATATTAGGAACTTCATAAGTCACGTCTATGTTTGTGTCGTTGCGTACTGCAACGTAACCTGATTTGAAGAATTGATTGTATTTTATTTTTGAAAAAACTGTTTGGGCATTTTCTCTCACTGTCAACAGTGACCAATTAGTTCTTTTCTGTTATGTGCACTCTTCAAAGCTGCAGAAAGATAATAAATGCATCCATCATTTTCCTCTTTCCTTTTAGGTCAACTTCTAATTTGTTCGAATGATACCTTATGATTCTTTAGAAATGAACTATAATCTCACATGTATTTTCCTGTTTTTTGGTGTAATTGTCTTTTTATCTATGATTGTATTCTTTTGTTTTTCTTTTTTTTGAAGAATCGAGATTACCATTTACTCAAACTCTTACGGATACTCGAATAATCGGCGCAACTAATAAACCTTTTTTAAATTTTCAGAGCTTACCACTTCTGCTCCAAGAGATGCTGTGATCTCCGAAAAAGATATACAGTTTGAATGCTGCTGCCTAAGAAGGATGACAACCATGCTTTCTGTGAATTCCTTTTGAAGGTAAACTTATCCACGGTGAATTTTACGAGAGGCGCATATTGCAACTCACTTAAGGTAGAGTCCCATATGGTATTAATCCCTTAAAAATCGGCGACGTTTACGTGACTTGACGATCGATTGCTGTTGCGATACATCGTCGCGATTAGTTAGCAATAGAAGCCGCTATAATAATTTATTTTTTTGCTTTTTTTCATTGTTTTGCACTTTGATGACTTTCTTATGGTAGTGCCGACTACTCGAACTCTCTTCATTCGATTAATGGGTTTGAGACATTCCCCAGAACTCTAGTTTTTATTCGCGCCCCTCGATTCAAAATCTGACCTTTGTCGAAACAACGAGTCAGCTGAGGAGATCACGCAGAACACTATGGACGCATCTCACAAAAACATTAATCTAAACTGAAAGGTTAAACCGAAAAAAGAGAGAATTGTCATCGAAATTCATGTTTATTATATACTTGGTCAGCTACAAAATAAAACCGTGAATACCTAGGAAATCCAAAATCGGTAAGTAATCACGATTAGTCAGCGATGTTTTGCGGAATCGCGACTTGCAAAATAATCAACGTTTAATCGCAATATACAACGGCGACTTTTTATTTCAGAAAAGCGCGATAATCGCCTTTTTTAAACAACATCGAAGACATGTGATAGTAATCTCGGTATTTGCAATGTCCAAAAACAATGAAATCCTATTTTGCTGCTGTTTAATATCTACACATTATTCCACGAATTTGCGTTCAGTAAAAATCTTAAAAGCGTACGAAATACACCCATCTTCTCTCACATCAGTTACTATATGTTGTACTTTCGCTCGCTAATATGAATTCGACCAGCGTTCACTCGTATGGAACGAGTGCAATTTCTTTTTCATCTGCTTAAGTGAAAGAGTCTAGGCGTTGAGCTAAGCTACGACTATAATAAGACATTATCTCCCCTATAAAAGAAAGTCCAGTGCGCATGGCATGCCATCGGTCACTGGCACCGGTGCGCACCCGTGTCCAGCAAGTGCCGGACCAGTGCCGATCGACACCCGTGTCGATATATTTTTGCCCAAAAAGTGCCGCACTTGTAAAAATTAGTGCCGCATTAAAATTTCTCTAATCAGTTTTTTGTTAGAGTTGTTTATGCTGACTTTTGTATTAGAATGCGGCACTCATCAGTACCACATTGACATGCCAAAACCATGCGACATTGCCTCGGAACTTCTCTTACGAGAAGGAAAATATGAAGTCAAAAAGACATTCGAAATATTAAAAGTATATTGTGATGTTAATATAAACAGAAATTGACAAAACAAAATGATGATTGAAAACAATACTTCGGCACTGGTGCGAGATTTTTACATTCTTTCTGGCATCGATGCGCCCAGAAAAAAATATTCGGCACCCCTATCATGTACAACCAGTGCCGATAAAATATTTTTTTATAGGGTCGTGCATGCAACTTCTTTTAGCTGCAAATAATTTCTCTGTCAAGATAATCTAACACAACTCCCTAGCTTCTGAAACACTGCTACGTTAACCTTAAAGGGAACAGGTCGAATAATCAACGAGAGCTGAACAAAAATATCTTTTCTCTTTGATTAAACAAACACGATGCCTTCTAAGAGCGACCTCTATTTCTGTATCGTGCAGATTTCTTTACTAAAGAAAAGACTAATCAAACGAGATAAGGTAAACTTACACGAAAGTTATCCCTTTCTTTAATTCTAATATTCTTTTCAAATATCTTACAAGAATTATGTATAAAATCAATCGCTGGAGGATCAAGTTTCGTCGAACTTCAATGGGCATTGAGATGATGCCAGCAGAATGTAGATACTGATGTCCCGTAGCAATAAAAGCTGCAGCGGTGTCACGGTTAAAGTACAATACTAAAAGATCCTGATCTTGCTGCGTTTTTACCGCGGTTTTGTGGAACCGCACGTCTCAACGGCAAATAGCATTTTGTATCATGTAAACACTTTAAATTCGTTTATCTCAGAAAGGTTAGAATGCTTTAAAAATGCATTCAACTTTCTTGTATAGTTTGCGCACTTGGGTAACTGTTTTAGCTTATTGAACGCTCAACATGAGTTTTTCGCTTGTTCCAAAAAAGAATGTATTCAAGAAAACTCAGCGTAAAATTGATGCTTTGTTCTCGACGGATATTTACAAGGCGAAAGAACAACTGCATCTAAGTTCATGCCTAATTTTTACTTCTAGTATAATAGGGCTCACACAAACGCAGACTTCACTTTTTCTCGAATTCCAGGAATACTCATAGTTTCCAGATGCATAACTTAGCAGAATTTTTTAATAGAGGTCAACATGTGAAGGCTATTCAAAGTTTATTTCTGAGCGTTCTGTTTTCGTTAAACTCAGAGATTTTGAATAAGTTGTCTAAAGATTATTTGTGTTGGCTAGATCAGCTCTCTTCATGGATCCAAGATGATCAATATAAGCAATTTGTTCAGTCCTACTGACTCTATTACCATATTTGTGTTTGTTTTTTGTACACTTCTACGATCTTATTTCTTTGCTTATGTATGCTACCATTCTTTCTGTTTAGAATTCGTTTAAATGCATTTTATTTTTAATGAAAAGAGTGTTTTGCGGCTCAAAATGTTTTCTACTTGTTTGTTTATTTCTTAGTTTATTTCAACTAATTTATATTACTCGGTTATTCAATCTGTTGTCAAATGATGATGAACGACAACAGTCGTTGTTGCCTAATACGGCGTATGATTGGAAAAGAAATTTATCTGTCATAGCAGATTGTAGTCATATCGAACATGCTTGCAATAGGTTCAGAATCCATATCGATCAACATATCAATAATATAACCTTTATTAAATCACCAATATTTTCGTCAATATTGACTACAATCAAGGCTTCTCCATTCTACACAACAGAGTCAAATGAGGCCTGTTTATATGTGGCACCGGTAGATACAATTGATCGAGATAAACGTTCAAAACAATTCTATTTTACATCGTTTATAGAACAACGCTTGAATTTTTATAATGAATGGAAACAAAAAAATAAAACACATATCATATTTAACCATTATATTGGTACGTTCTGAAAACGAAAGAAATTATCTAAAAATGCTTCTGTTTCTCAGATTAATATGTTTATAGAAATGTGATGATTTATCCTTATCTTCTTAGGTACTTGGCCTTCCTATAGTCGAACAATTGATTTTGTTTTGCCCACTCAATACATATTAGCTACTACCAGTTTAACAGCCGATGAATATTCTTGTTTAAGTCATCTTACATATCCATTATTTCATGAAAATTTACCTGTTTGGTATTCGATCAATACATATAAAGATGAAGAAAGACTGTATCTTCGCTCGATATTATTATCATTTAAAGGAAAGGGTTATTGGGATGTTTTACATTATCGTACTTTTTTTAAACATTTACATAATGGAAAAGATACGTTAATAATTTTCACTGATGAAGATGATAAGAATAGTAGTAGTAAAGATTATGATTATATTGAACTGATGCAACGATCAAATTATTGCTTAGTTCCAAGTGGCAGACGATTGAGTTCATATCGTTTTTTAGAAGTATTAAAATATTCTTGTATTCCAATAATTATTAATCATGAGTGGATGTTACCATTTAGTGAAATTATTGAATGGCATAATGTAGCTATTATTTTATCAAATAACTTTACGCTTAGTCTATTACCATTTTATTTACAAACAACAATAAGTGAACATGAACGAGAGAGTCGACGTAAAATGTGTTATCAACTCTGGCTCAGATATTTTTCGTCAATTGATCGAATTACACGAACAACGTTAGAAATACTCAACGATAGATATTCAAGTCAAAAACGGCCAAAATGGTTATGGATGACTTATTATGGTGCACTATTTACAGATATCGATTATGGTAAGGATTGATGTTTGAAATTTATTTTTAACTATTTGAGTAAACTTGTGGCAACGGAATAAAATATTTATGTTTACGAAGTATGATTGATAGAAAAAGTTTAAACTCATACAGATGTAACACTAAAGAAAAACACGAGTTCACTGGAGTACCAGTCTTACTGATAGGGTCTATACTTACGGTATAATTTATGCTGTTTTATTTCTTTGTGAACGTAACTTTGTTGTACGAAGAGAAAAGAGTGATATCTGTTAAAATATACGGTTCTCTTTCATTTTCATATAGAAATGTTCTATTTCTAGGACTAGGTCGTGATGGTAAATGGTCTCGTTATCCATTTTATTATTCTGACTTATTGAGCAAGGATAAGAAAGAGAGATCATTTTCGTATTATTTTCGAAGTTTAAGGCAATGTCAAATAAATCATGGACCAGAATTTATTTACTGTCATAAAAATGGAACAATGTTAAAATTCAAGCGAAAAATGAGTGATTGTATTATTCGAATGAGTAATAGTCAACAAATGAATGGTACTCAATTATGCCAACTATATACGAGGTGGTTGATAGATCCAGCTAATGTTATATTTACTCCATCACTGGATATTTTATTTATTCATAAATATTATTTGTATTTGTACAAAACACAATATAAAATGAGATTACAATTGAGTGGAAATTATACTCAAGAAACATTTTGGTTGATCAATCTTGTTTCACACGTTATACAAAACAAAGTTTTTATGCACTACAACAAGCCATTTATTTCAAATTTTACAGATTTGTTTACTGACCCGGTTGACAATGTAACACATATCTTTGGATATGAGCCCGTTAGAACTTACGGTTGTATCGTGTTCTGAATATTTTTTATTTCTTACCAAGAGATTGTTAGTCAATCCAAGTTTTTTTTTGATTTTTCAAAATTCTTTTCTATCTCTTTATCCTATTAAACATCAACTGCCTTAAAACAGGTAATTCGCACTCATTGTTCGATCATTTACTTCTTTTCTCAGCCTGGACTCATTCACAAGAAAGACTGTCGTAATAAAAGAGCACCACACTTTCAACTAATTGTTGATAAAAACACTTAATCGATGAAGTCATGATACTTCTGCAAACTGAGAGATTATTTCATCATCTTATTTAAATGTTTACTACATGCAAATAGTTTAGTTACAATCATTAATTAGATGTACAGTTAATTAATTCACTTTCGCTAAATATTTTTTTGTTGTATGAGAATAGTGAACAAAGTGGTATAAATCAACAAAATTAGAGTATTTTGGTGCTACTGAATGTTTATGATTATCATCGGATTTAACATAAAAGAGAGAATATGACAGAATAGGAAGTTGATTGATTTGACACATGTTATTCATTGTTGTATAGGTTAGAGTATTGTTCAAATACTTAATTTATTATTAATGAGTGAACTTATTCGTACAAATGAAACAGGTAAGATAACACGAAAGAGGATCATTGACTTTATACGCACTAACAAAAAAAAACTTGCTTCATTTTACAGTTTTCTATATTGTTGACATTTTTTCGATATTCTCTAATTCTGTAGATTGAGAGATCACATGTGGATACATCATTTACTGTTTTTCATTGTGCCAAACTCTCGCTCATTGCGTAGCTATACGGACAGGGATACGACGTTTCCTTCTCTTCTACAATGGTACAGGTAAAGTTGGTTTTTCATACTTTATTTTAACACAGAATTAATTGAAAGCCATTTTCTTATTTTTTAGTACTTCTCGTTAACACTTCTCTCGTGTAATCAGTGTCAGTTCATGACGATAATATGACGTGTAGACATTTGTCCAATTCTGTTTATATGAATTTTTCTACTAACGTATAGTCTAACATGTTTTGACGTTTTCTTTTCTTCTATTTAGTAGAGTCAGTCTATAGGTTAATGTAGTCGAACACGACGACGTCTTTGATGGACGAGACCGAAAATCATTCTAAAACAAAGATGAAAAAAAGAAGAGACAACAGCCTTGAACTGTATGGGAGAGGCAGAGAGAATGAATATTTTCTTTCTTTTCTTCTTTCTTTCTTCTTTTCTTTTCTTGTTTTCTTTGTTGAACGTGTAACATAGTCAACAGTTCATGGATGATTGCCGTAGAGGTCAGTGTCTACGTTTTGAAGAGTGAATTTGATTTTGTATTTTTTCGTCTAACAAATTAAACTATAATTTAACCACCCTCTTCCCTATGTAGACAGAAAAAGAAAGAATATAGGATAATTTATTGTGAATCATACAGTTGTTGTTTGGAAAAACTATTCCCGAAGTAAGTATTAATGATTCATTTTGAAACTTGTATGAGTCAGGAAGTAAGACTAAAAATTCAAGGGAGTTAAATGACGTGTTTTTTTTTGCACTGCAATCGATGCCAATAGTAAGAGTTCCAAAATTCGAGTTGATTGTTTTCGTTCATTTTGACAATGATGACGTGTATTTTTAGAGAAGCGACTGTTGCGTTTATTCTTTGGAGACACAAAATACAGTTCTTCGAACTTTTTTCTTTCATTTTAACATTCAGCATCATTATCTGACGTAATATCAAAGTATAATTGTCCGTAATGTTTTTCGTTCTTACGTGTACCATAAAGTCCTTGCATATAGGTTTTTAAAGCGCCTCTTCGAGTTAGAGTTGGGTTTGTTTCCTTCTCCTGTCCTGTGCCATTCCTTTTCTTTTCTGTAGTACGAACATTTACATAACTCGTTCTTTAAAAATAACCTTGGCGAATTTGCATTTCAATCGTTTATCATGCTTCAGTTTTTTCATACTCAATCATTTTCTTTCTATTATCAACCTTGTAGAAAATTCGTTTTTCTTTAATTATTGTTTTTATTTGATTACATTTTAGATTGTGATTTATCATTCTTTGAGTTTACGTTCATCTTTTTTCATAACTAATAAAAAAAACCTTAATCGCTATAATGAAAGATAGTTTAATTGACGAAGAGATAATCGATCTACCTGATGTTGGCGGTGTTCAGCGTCAGACCAGCACATATTCCTCGTCGTCGACAACAACGACAACACCGCGTCGTCCAATGTACATTGAAACAGAAATGAGAACAGATTTGAGGTCAACACGTAGTGGACCAGCGGTAAATGTTAATGATGTTTTGGAGAAAACAAAATCACCGACTGAGTATGTACTTACTGTCTACCGTAGTTTAAAGTAGTTTCATTACATGTCAATTTTTTTAGGGGTTTACCTAAAACTACATATACATACGCTCATTCGTAAGTAATATCAATCTTTGTAAAGTTATTTTTAAACCGTATAGAAAATAACTTTTTCGATATTGCTAAACACTAAAGTTGGGAATGTTGCGTCTAACATTCATTAATGTTAACTTCAATTTTTTAGTGTGTCGTATATGCCCGTTAGGCAATATGGTCCAAATGACGTACCGGTGATGGCTCGACGTAACTTACATGCAGGAGGTAATGATTAAAGTTCAACAATATCAACAGCCATATGTTACATGTCTTCTTCTAATTTAGAGTATGGTATGAATGGTGGTAGCAATATCTTCTCTTCACCGCAAAAATTCGTATCGAATGTTTATTCTCAAATTGCTGATCGTTTCTCAGAATTTCGTTCTCGTTTAACAAATCAGTTTAATCCACAACAGCAACAGAGACAGCAGTCAGATGTGTACGACGATGAGCAACAACCAACAACTGGCGGATCTCGTTATGTTCGTACATCGTCTCAATCATCAACTGGTCGAAATACAACCGGTACCTCATCCAAAGGATATAATTTACGTTCAAGACCCGTACATAGTACGCCACGTGAAAATGAAGAGAACGAAATACGACAGCGTCAACAACAAAAATATTCTCAACAATCGCAACAAGATGACAACAGCAACGACTATGATAAAAATAAACGATATCAACAACATCAACAAAAGTCATCTCAAAAACATCGGCGAGATAGCCAGGAGCGTGAAGAACACGACGATACATTATTGGGAAAAGTGAAACATTATATTGCAAAAATCATTCATTCACCAATTGATTTTATTAAAAGTATATTTCATGCTGTTGGATCATTGCCATTTTGGTTATTGTTACCTCTCCTTCTCTTACTCGGTTTATATGCACGTAAGTACTTGGATAGATAAACGGAGCTACTATGAAATATTGTATATGTTTCTTTTTCTAGTGCCGTGGTTAGTTTGTAAACCATTTGATCATTATCCAGAATCAACTCCGTATGCCTTATGCAACGGTATAAAAGTGAGTACAACATCTATCTTTTATCCAATAATATTTATACGATGTTGTTTTAGAATTTTTCGTTATCTGTAACCAATGGTACATATAATTTTGTTCGTCATAATACCTATGATCGTATAAGTCATAATATACGTCGTGGAAGACGATCAATAAATGATCTTAAAGACTCTATTTACAGTAGTTTGGAAGATGTCTATTATAGTGTAAAAAAATCATTGAAAACATCTGTTGTTGAAGTTAAAGAAAAAGTGGCTGATGTTTACGATCACACAGCAGAAAATGCAAAACAATATTGTGATGCCGGTTTACAAAAAATGAATAGTGTCATTGAAGATTTGAAAAAAGAACGAGAGAAATTTTTAGGACCGTAAGCAATATATTTTTTTGTTGTATTTTGTTCATCAATATCGTTAGTATGCTGTTTTGTTTTCAGGCGACATGTTCTAACTTCAACACAAGAAAAAGAACTTGAAGAAGTAAGAGTTTTAATGTCAGTAAGATGCGTTTCTGATCCCACTTTGTCTCATGTAGTGCTGCAAGAGTAGCTGAAAGGTAAGCTGCTAATGAGAGATAAATTTGGAGTGGAAACAATTGATTGTTGTGATGTAGCCGTTATAAATGAGCTTATTATTGCTATTTATATTACTAATACTATTGCTGATATTGTTGCTGTAAGAACTGGAACATGAAAATTTTTTCTCTTTTCTTTCCTGAATAGATGGTACGACAGATGTTAGAGGACTATTCGGCTGATGAAATTGGTGAACCAGATTATGCTTTAGAATCGAATGGTGAGTAGTGGCATTTATTCTAATATAGTGTGAAAATTTTCGATATACTCTGATTAATTTTAGGAGCAAAAGTTGTTGATACTCGCTGCACAGAATATACTGATGAACCACGGCAAAATGTTGTCAAATTTCTTGGAATACCTGTTGCACATATGTCAAAACAACCGGACATCATGATTAGAGTAAGTTATAGAGAAAAAAACAGTTCAGATGCATGAATGAAATGTTTATATTACTCGTTTAGCCTGGTCGACTTCCCGGTCAATGTTTTCCATTCAAAGGTGACCAAGGAAGCATTGTTGTTAAATTAGCCGTGCCCGTTGTACCGACAGAATTTGTACTTGAACATTTATCAAAACGAATATCAATCGTTGGTCATGTGAATAGTGCACCAAAAAATTTTACCGTTTATGTAAGTTATTGTATGAATAAATCGAGAATCAACCAATACACTTTTCGTTATGTTTTCTAGGCACTTCGTGATAAACATGATAAAGAAGGTATCGTTCTTGGACGTTATATGTATGATGCCGAAAACGGTCTAGCTCTTCAACGTTTTAAACCTCAGGTAAGTTTATAATGAATAGAAACATCTTACTTTATACTGTGGGTGCTCTTGATTATTTTGTTGCATGTCTTGTGGCTGCCAAGAAGAGCCTCTTGAGATTTAGACATTGCAGTTTTCAATAGCTGATTATGTTCGGATAGCATACTTCATATATTACAGAGAATTAGAGATTTCATATGATCATAAAATGTGTTTTTTCTTTTCAGATAAGTCCTGTTTCAACATGTGAATTCATTGAAATTCAAGTAACATCAAATTGGGGTAATCCAAATTATACATGCGTTTATCGTTTTCGTGTACACGGTGAATTGATACAACATTTTCCATCAGCACCAGCTGCTTAAACTGATTTGTCGTATATTTTTTTCCGAACTCTAGAAAACATCAAATAGACATTCTATTGAAATGCAAGAAGTCTCACTAATACATTCTTGTATTAGTTATTATTTATCGTTTTTTCGTTTTATACTCATTTGATGTGTAGTAGTTCATATTGAATCTGTATAGATATTTCGAGTTATCAGTTTCTTTATACTCCTCGCTCGACTGTTCTCTGTGTCTCATGTTTATAGATATGAATTATCATAAATCTTGTATTAGTTCGTTTTTCACTTAATAATTGTACTTGTATAGATTATCTCTCTGTCGTTTTCTTTTTCTTGTTAATTTACATGTTTATGTGTATGTAACCTGTTCTATTGGCTGCTAACTCATTTTTTTGTTTTGTTTTGTTTTGTATAAAGACGTTGAAAAACAAATTAAAAAAAAATAGAAACTGTACTCTCAGTCTAATCAAGAAATATTTTTCTTTTTGTTCAGATCGTGTACATGTATGTTCGTTTTTTTCTATTCCATGTTTTATATTTGAGAATAAATTCAAGCTAAAATAAATTCCGTTAATAGACAGCGGATAAGATAAAACTTCTGCATAGTGTTTAGCACTAAAAACTCTTACGAAGAAACTCGTAATTATTATACGTTTAAATATTGTAAACATATGAATATCTATTCCTTGTTCTCATTTTCCGATCACCTTTCTTGAGAATTGACACTACCATTTAGCTTAATAGTTCATACAAATATTTAATATTTTGTCCTAGAACAATTGCAAATATTGCACGATATTCGACATATTTATTTGAACGCTTAAAAATGACGATGGACGTTATATATGACTGATTTTCTTTTATAGTGTAACTGAATATCAAATCTTCCTTTCAATATACGTTTGCTTTTCTTACGTTGAGTTATAATTTCGTAGGATTAGCTATACTCCACAATGTGCTTATGCATTTCATACTTCTTGCTTTTATACTTAAATATATATGACGTATTTTCCTGTCAACATTTCATGAAATGTTGGTAAAAATCTATTCCGTGTAATTTTCATAGATTAATCATAAGTATCCCAAAGCATATATATATAGAATAAAATGACAATCTCTTTTAATTTTCGTAATTTCTCATTAATTAATTCAGGTCAACTCTCAATGATGTGCAATGTACTAATTAACGCTAATGAACTTTAAGATAATTTTTACATCGATCGATAGGTAAGACTCCGCTCAACCTTCCCGTGAGATATCCCTTCTTTCCGGTAAAAAATAACTGTAAAGCTTCAAGGATACTGAGAACATTTTTTATTCTGATTATAATTACCCCAGGCTACTCTATCTATTTCCTATTTGTAAAGAAAACCTTCTGTTTCTATCTGTATGAATCCATGCGTTCTGATTTACCTCAATTAATATGTACATGATATTACTCCTTTGTATTTTAACCTTATTAATACAAATTGGACGATCAAAACGAAAAGAAAAATATCATCAACAGCATGTTCAAAGATTTGAATGAATATAGCAGTAGTTTTATAATAGAAAATGTAAAAAATCATGAAGAAATATCTATTATTTAAACGGAAAAGTCATATTCAACGGTCATAGTGAACTTTTAATGTTGCATTCTAGTTGAATGTTGGCCGATTCTCCAAGAATTTCTAGAAACTTTCTAGGTGAGGAATGATCGTTCTGTACTGCCAGTTTTCTTTCTAACTTCGTCTCATTAGTCACTACTTTTTTGATGTTAAGATGTATTTTATGTCATATATATGTACCTGTTCATTGTGTGAGATTTTTAAAATGTAGATCCTCATGGGCTATGAAGAACCCCAACTTGGTTCGGGTGCAATCAACTTTATTGCTGAGATATCGAATTTTCCCGATGGGACCTGGATTTCAAGCAAAATCGGAGTTTTGAATTTCTATGTTGAGACGTATCGCATATTGTAGCTCAAACCATTTGTACTCCGATGAAAAAAGGCCAAGCTGAAAATCTCTTTCGACTGCGGTGAAAGAATTTTTTCAAAATTTGCTGCATGGTTTACCTTTGGTATCCATATGGAAAAGTTCTTTCACCGCAACGGAAACAGATTTTCAGCTCGGTTTGCAAATGGTCTGGACTACACTTATGACATATTGTAGTAGTATGATATCCGGGTCATATGGGGGAAAATTCGATATCTCAGCAACAAAGTTGAATGCGTCCGAACCAAGCTGGGGTTCTTCACAGCCCATGAGGGCCTACATTTTAAAAATAATCCCATTCAAAAAGGTTTTTAGCACTTCAGAAGGTTCCCTCGTTAGTTTTAGTGGACGAGAATTTTCCTAAAATAGGTTATTTCTCTGGATGTTAAAAAATTTAGTCTCTTCTCTTCTTTATTTTCTGTTATACATTGGGTACTGAAAGAACCATATAGGTCATCAATTGTTTGCAAATTCAGTTATTTGTTGTTTTTCATGTATTCAATGAGAAAATTTTATTTACAAAAGTAACTATAATTATTATCTATAAATATGTGATTGTATGACTTGTTTTCGAGATAAATGGTCATTACAATATTTCGGAACACTGCTGGTTTTTGTCCTGTTCAATGAATCTAATTTTTTTGTATTATTATTGTTTAAAAGACACGCTTGCAAATGATGTAATTCACTTGGACAGGATTGATGATAATCAATACAATTTCGATGTGTTCGATGATCAGCCGTATAAAATAAACGATTTGCCCATAGTAAAATGGCACACTGTTGTTGTTGTTGATGAGGATAGTGATGATGAGTACTGTTCGGTTGTGTCGAGGAGATGGCATCTTGTTCATAAGAGGCATACTGGTATTCATGATGACTACAAGACAATGGAAGAGTAGGTTTACAAATCTGTCGATGATAATTACAACATGACGGAGGTGTTTCATACTTTTCATAAGTATTTTTTGATGACAAAAATTGTTGTTCACTATTATCTGATGAAGATGATGGTAATTGTTCGTACAAACTATCCTGATGTTGATTTTGATTTATTTTTTTATAATATTTGTTATACATTCGAATGTCAGCCGTTTGAGAGAGATGATGGATAGGATGATCAGAGCGTAATTCAATATTTAAATGACGACGTTTCATATTTAATTTTTTTCGTCTACAATATGATAATAATAGAAGAATGATTAAACAAGACATAATTAGAATTAATAACAAAAGTAAAATTAAAAATATTGTTTGATTTTGATGAGCGAACGAAATTAAATTTGTCGATGACATTGTTGATAGAATATCTGAACATTTTGTAGAATCAAATAGTTGTGGCAATGGAGAATGGTAATTTTTAAATAAAAACTGTTGAGAAATAGATTGAAAATCGGACATTGAAGTTAAATTTGGACTTATGGATGATGATAATAGATAACTCATCATCGTACTTGTTGTCAGTATTCCTAAAAACAGCAAAAGTATATTTAATTCTGATATAAAATAAATCGTTCTCATTACCTTTATTAGCTGTATGTTCTCGTTTAACATTATTATTTGTTTGTTGTTGATTTGTAAAATTATATAATGAAATAAGTCGTTTAGACAATGTTGTAATATTTGATGATATTCTAAATAAATTTAAATTTTGATTTTTCGAATAAATATTCCATGAATATGGTAATAAAATATTTGTTTTATTTTTTAATTGTTCATTTGATAATATAATAACATGTAAACGTTCCAAACACATAAATATATCAAAATTATCTAATATAATTGGATTATAAGTTAAATCAAGATATTCTAAATTAGGTACAGTACAAAATGTATCATTATCTAAATAAGTTAAATTATTATGAGCTAAATTTAATGATACCAATGATGTTTTTCCCACAAATATATATGATTTAATATTTTGAATATTATTTGATTCATAAGATAATTCTGTTACTTTTTCTGGTAATAATTGTGGTATATCAGTTAAATTTGCTAATGAACAATTAACAATATTTCTTGTCCAATTTATATTATGATAACATGAACAATCATTTGGACAAATATTATTACAATCACATGCAACAAAATCACAACATGAACAATCGGTAAAACAATATTGTTCATATGAACATAAAAGATCTGATTTTTCTAATTCAGAAAATGATTTATAGATAAATGTTGATGGTGTATTGTTATTATTATAAGGTAAAATTAATTGACATTTTAATATTTCTAAATCGTTTATAATTATTTGATGATTATTGTCTATTTCACTACCACCACCACCATAATAATTATCATAAAATTTTGTCATCCAACAATCACATAGTAAAGGATTACCACGTAATGATAGACGTAAATATTGTGAATAGATCTAAAAAATAAAAATAATAAAGATTTATAATCTATCATTAATCTAAACGAGACTGTCTTATGTTCAGACGATTAATGTCTATTTCGTTATTTTTTTTTCTGTTAAAATATAATTTGTTCGTAAGATATTGATATATTGATATTCTTTGACTTTTTACGTTTTTTTTTTGTATAAAACTAAGTATATTTAATATAATTGAAAAACATTTTTATAAAATCATTTTTACATAAAAAGTGAGCTTTCGATACTTCTTTCAGTGTTCATCATCAGGCTAATATGACTGTCAACTTTAGAAGAGAGATAATTATATATACTAGTTGAAATAGGAGACTTCAACTAATAATCTTTTCTCTGTTTCAACTAGTATATATAATTATCTCTCTTCTAAAGTTGACAGTCATATTAGCCTGATGATGAACACTGAAAGAAGTATCGAAAGCTCACTTTTTATGTAAAAATGATTTTATAAAAATATTTTTCAATTATATTAAATATACTTAGTAAGATGTTGAGAAAATAATTTTTAATAATAGAATTTTTCATACTATAGAATAGAGTTAATAATACTTACATAATTATCTTGATCAATTGTATTGTTAATATGTTCATCATCATCATATTGATAATAATATTTAAGAAATTCTAATGAACGTATTTGATTATATTTTAAATGAAGTGTATGTAAATTATTTAATTTTAAAATTTTTTCATTAAGATAAATGAATTGATTATATGAAAGATCAAGATAGTCTAATTTATCTGGTAAATATGGTAATTGATTAAGAAAATTATTTGTTAACGATAGATAATTTAATGTTGTTAAATTTTGAAATAATGTTTTTGGTAATATTTTTAAATTACAATTACTAAGATCTAACATTGTTAATTTTAAATATGAACTAAAAAATAGACTATTGTTTAATATTAAATTTTTGTTTCCACGTAAACTGAGACCAATTAAATCATTGTTAATATTTCTACTCTCATTCAAATTATCTTGTTCAATCTCATTATAATCTAAATAGAAAAAATAAATGATAATATGGATAATCTTATATGAGGAGACAATGAACGACTAGTAAACTTGCTGTTGATCCATTAAAATACACCGTCTTACAAGACGGATAACACTGCTGATGTATATTACTGACAAGTCTAACTTGTCAGTGTATAGTAGAGTCCAGTATCTTTCCTTTTATTCATAATCTGTGAGGGATGATCACTCATATCGTTGGCCAGAAAGTTAGTCTCACGCAAAGTTCTTTCACCCAATTTGATTGAGTACACGCGTACTCATCACGTACTAGGTTTGTTGTAAACTAGAGAAACGAATGAAGAAACATTTCCAAATGATAAAGTTCTCTTTTCTGTAAAAATCATATGACTACAGATAACCGATGGTGATTTAAATATTTTTTTTACACAGTCAACTCGATACGCTCTACAATCTGTACAAATTAGAAATTAATTTCCAAAAAAAAAAGTTTGAAGTCTGAAGAAAAAAGGGGTTCTAAAGATCAAAGAGCAGTTCGAAGTATCATACTCGCAATCAACGTTATCAGATCCCTATGGGCATAGAATTTTCGATAGAAAAAAGCAGATTGTCACCAGGAAATATTTTCTTCTAAGTTGTACCTCAATCAACACAATGAATATCCTGTCAGATGGATGATCTGAGACGCAAAGAACTTGTCCAACTTTATTATACCACGTGATATTATAAACACGTGACGAAAAATATAATCGTCAAGGTGTCAAACTTCTTGTTCTAACAATAATTTATCATTTATAAGAAAAATTTTGTAAGCCTACCCAGACAAAGATATTTTAAGCGTGGAAATGATGCTAACGATGGTAATTTTCTAATATTATTGTATGTTAAATCGAGATATTCAATTGTTGATATTAGATTTCTTATATAATTTCTTTTATTTGTTTTCAATAGATCATCGACATTGTCTATTGAACATGAAACGAGTTTAATTGTTATGATTCGTTTTAGTTTTATATTTGTTGTTTGAATTAAATTTGCTATTATTTGATTTAAATTAATTGATTTTCTATTAATATTTGTCCACGATATATGACATCTATTCCATTCATCACTATCATAATCAATTGTTATTTGACATTGATCTTGTAAATATTCGTTATCATTACCACTCGTTTTACGATTACGATAGAATAAAGAAAATGGTTCTCTATCGATAATTGAACAATTCCATGTACTAGTAGTAATAGAAATAGCGACAATAGATTGTTGAAAAAAATCAAATATAATCAATAGAAGAAGGTGTTGAAAGAACATATTTGTCTATTAAATAATAATTGTGTAGTATTGATGTCTGGAATATTCAATCTATAAACAAACAACGACTACATTAATAAAAATTTGACCAGTATAAAGTCAAAAAGTACTTGACTATAGATCATTAATCAAAAAGATTGATAGAAAATAATCAATGATCTGAATTTTAAAAACGTGTAGTAAAAGTCAAATATCTCTACTATTTTTTCTCAATAACAATGAGTTTATCTCAAAAAAAAAAAAAAATATCAATTATTGTTAAACTATCATTGTAAATAATACATATAGATTAATGCTCAATGAAATGAATAGGATAAATTAACAGAGTATAAAACAATTTGAAGAGTTTTCAAATATAAATAAATTTCCTTCTTACCAATGGAATTTGTCTAAAAGTTTTCTTTTTACAAGAACAATTAATAAGTCCTTATTACTATTACGATAAATCTTATATTATGTAATGTATTGTTCAATCATATATAACTAAAAACACTTATTAATGTTGTAATTATTCGGATATACATATATTGTTTTACTCGAAGAAATATTAAACCGTTTTTTCTTTGTGTTATTCTTTTCATTTGGTAATTATGATTTGAACAGGCCGGAAGTAGAAAATCTGCTAGTGATTTCTTTTTTTCTTCTTTTAACACATGCAAATACATATAAATATATTCATGTATGAGCGTTTAACGATACGATTATTGTTGCACCTTCAACATGTATGTGTAAATACGAGTGAGCTTACGCAATAAAATTCACATCAACATGTGTATGTGATTGATATCTATGTTTGTGTCCGATTTACTTATGACCAAAAGGCTTATCAAAAAACAATATCTCTCTCTTTTTCTCTTTTCTACGATAAATAAACCGAATTGTCTAAAATTAATTAATTTAATTATGAAGATTATTCTCAAATGACATTTTAATTTTTCTTTTTCTCGTTTTTTTTTTTGTGTTTGATTATACATCTGTAGACTCTTGCTGTGTACTTACATCACTAATGATGATGATTGTCTTCTCTCTCTCTCTCTTGCTCAATCATTTGACGGTTATTTGATGACTATTATGATTTGACTTTAGTCATTTTGCATTAGACTTATCAACTGTCTTATCTTCCGGCATTTAAAATTTGATTTATTGTTCTTACTAATAAAAACCTTGATTTATTGATCTTGAACAGTTCGTTCAATACTCATTCATTGTTGCATGGTACAATGGATAAAAAAGACGAAAAAACAAGGAGAGATGATTTGACATGGACAATTTTTTGTTAAAGGATGAATATTAACCATCAACTGTTCAATCAATTAGAAAGATAAGAATATACGTCAATCATCAAAAATTAGTGAACTTACAAGAATATAAAATATCATTAGTGTTGTTCATTCAATAGTCCCGTCTAATTACTTGACGTTCAACAGCTTTTCACTAACTAATCACAGAATTCAATTAAAGACTGACAAAATTAGTTTCTATACGAAGCTGAAACATTAGACACTATTATTTCAAAACTATACGATATTTTAAATGTTCAGTAGCAGAAAAACCAGTAAACATAAATTTTTCTTCTTATGAAGAATACAGTAATCTAAACGGACATATTTTTATTATTCCTGGAAATAAAAGTTTTTTCTTAGAATCATAGTGTTTTCTTTTACTTGTCTATACAAAGGAATCGTCTGTATAGGCAAGTAAAAGAAGCTTATAGTCACAGAGTAGCTTTCTTTTTTCTTCGTCTCTGTGGTACCCCAGTACACAATACGCGCGTGTATTTATTGTTTATCTGTCATTTATGTGTAAAATATGTTGTTCATAATTATTGCCATTTTTATACTATTTTGATATTATTATTATCATTTACTCTATATGACAGTTTTGATAGACTGATGTCTCGAACAAAAACAGAAGAAAAGAAAAATAGAAATTAAACATTGTAAATGTACAAGAAAACAATGACTGTGTATAGTCTCATATTTGACTGATTAACGACATGAGTATTGTGATTGCTTGCATCAAAAACTAATCAACACGATCAAATAAATGAGCGGATGGAAAGAAGAAAGATCGTTTAAATGATACCCTACTGAGTAAAGAATAATTTCTTTTCGTGTACACATATGGAATAACGATTGAAAGACAGAAGGAAAAAGAAAACTGATTAAAGTTCTCTAATAAAAGTAGTCATTCGTCATTCGTGCGTTAATTTCTAACTGGTGCGCTTCAACAGTTTGTTTCGATTTTAAATGAACGGAAAATCGCACACTGTGCAGGTATAATAAAAGGAAATAAACTTTATACATAAAAAAAGTAAAGATATTTCGTTACAGTTAGAAAAGGTGTACGAGTCTGTACGAAAAACAATTCGTATCAGGATAGATCAATTCTTCAAAATATTTTCAATATAGTTAAATTTTAACATTTTTTTTTATTTTATCACAGCATCTAATTCGAGTAGCACATTTTTCTGTACTCTTGCTTGGTGAAAGAATGACCAACAAGTAATGATGAGATGTTGACTTGAAGCTTTGAAAACTTGTTGAAGGTTCAAATTAAATGTACATATTATACGTGAAATTAATGTATTCAAATCTCGTCTTAAACAAGTTTTCATGATAAATAAATAGAAAATATTAAAGCTACTACAGACTTACGTTATTTTTCTGACTATCTACCACTACTGATGTAAATTAAAACTGTTTCTAACGAACTGAACAACAGCTGCTTTTTTGTTTTAGTAAAATTGTTTTAATGTGTATCCTGATTTTTAATTACACTATACTAACTTGAAAAAGAAAGGAAGAGTGTAACAACAGTTAACAACATACTATTCACTCTCTCTCTCTCTCTCTCTATTTCTCTTTCTCTTTTTCTATTGTTTCTTATTCCATTAACAGACTATTCAGTGAATGAAACGAATGTATCTGAATTAAATCAAGCTTAGATTGTTTTTTTTTAAGAAATAAAATGACACATTTGTACGGATGCATCGTTCCCTATATTAGGTCATTGACCTCACAATCAAATATAAACAGACGACGATCACAGGGAGCGGATGCGTTTGTTTGCATGTGAACATATTCACATATAAAACAAAGTAAAAAAGAGACACAGAAACATGACAATGGCTCCATCTTGATTATATTCTTTAAAGCGTGAACAATTTTAAAACAATTTTGACGTCAGTATTCCTAACATTCTCAGTAAAAACTGTCGCTCATTAAATACAAAACAATGGATCAAAGAAAAGAAAATGAAAACAAATCATTGAGCTGATCTATAGTGTTTAATATACACGTATGACAAGATATTATTTTTTTATAGATGAAAAAATGTGATTGTTTAATATCAACTCACTTTATAGTTTGTTTACAATTTGAAACGATTATCCCTTGAATTAACGATATCAAAATAAAAATCTTCACACTTTTTTCTTTTAATAAATATGATTACATTATTGAAAAGAATACCGTTTCTTTTATAATCTATTTGTATTAAAAAAAAAAACATTTTTGCGTTCTTCGTACTTATGGATAAGTTGAACCTTAATGTAGAGTTTCCGAACGAAGTTTAAAGGATATTCTAAATTATATAAGTTCGAATACAGCAACTTATATTTATCACTTTCTATCGTCCCGTCATCATCAGTACTGCACTTTAAATTAGTTATTATTTTACATCGATGCGCTTATTGAGAATGTAATACAATCACATAGTCCTACTACTAATAAGAATCATTATCTTTAATACAATAATTGTAATTGTTTTAATATTTGATGAATTTTCTTCAAACGAAAATGTTTTGTTAATTTTTGTTTTACATATGATGGATAATACTTATCGAGAAAAAATACGCTCGTAATGATATAATTTGTAAGCACATACAAACTTTCATTTCTAGATGTATGTAGTTTATTAAGCCAACAATTAAAATGAACATAAACACGCATATATTCTCTCTGTCTCATTTCCATTTCACATGACACAGTTCCATTTCTCTTATCCAATATGTAATTTGTTGCTCATTTGATTTATTCTCTCTCATCTTTTCTATCTATTACAAAATACATACACTTGTTCCAAAAAAAGAAAATCATCCCCCAAGCAATTTGTCGTACACGCAAGAAAGACAGTGACATCTCAATCATTCATTCGCAACGACCTTCTATCTCAAACGGAATGAATTATGGAAAAATTGAATACTTCATTGAATTCTAATTAAAATACACATTTCCTTTAAACTATTGACATCTTGTCTATAATATCCGCTACTCTATATCGCTCTACTATAATATAGTAGAGCTAAAATGACCGTCGTAAGCGTTGTCATCGACCTTCTAAGCCATCTTTAAACATCTACTAACAGATTATCCAAATTCCTTTAGATAGTACTCTCTTCGTATCTGAAAAGAATACATAGTCTTCTTTATTCATTTGACTGAAACGATTAACTGACGCTGGAGCTAAATACAACTGCCAAGTTGTCAGATATTCCACTTCGGTCGAGATGGACAAGTGTATTGTATTCTATACTCAACTTTCATTCTTTTTCAATTTTTACAGAATAATGACAAAATTTTCATCATCCTCACACGATGATCATATAGATTTCTTTGCTTGACTCCAGAGGATAATTTCGGAGAAATATTTTCCTTCGAGAGACATTTGAGGATTGTATACGTACATATATATATGGAAAATACAATATGGTACAATTCGATACATACCTGTTGACAGCTTCATTTGAAACCAACAAAAGAATAGTGAAGTGTGTCAATCCCTCTGCATTATGTATAGTTGAACGCTTTTAGTGATGGTGATATTTCGAAGTAAACGAAACTTTTTTGTTGTCGATTGCGTGAGTTTTTATTATTAAAATGTAAATAATCTATATGGAAGTATATTCATTCGACCTGATTGTTCATATTACAACAAAACAGAGGTGGAATAATCAGAAAAAAAGAAAAGAAAAGAAGATTTTCTTTTCTTATTTAATA